ACAGATTTGTATTTGTAGATTTTTTGAGATCTATCACTATTCGTTATCTTCACCTTTTTTCATTATACATATATATCAAAGGGGGTTTTAGTTCCTGAAGATCGCAATACAGAAAATGATATATCTAACTAAGAGGGTTTTCAACCTAAACGCGTAGCACACATGCCAAACATTTGGAAGAATCATATGTAAATGCAGTATGTATTTAAACCTATATAAAAATATGTGCTATAAATATCACCGTTAGATTGAAATAGGTGTGAGATTTAAGGAAGTTTGGTTTTGGTATATAATTTAAGTCCCAGCTTAAGGACTTTTTTTTTTCTTTAAGTTAAAAAAAAAACATGATTATAAGTTTAAAAAGTCCTTTCAATCTGATAATCAAATAAATATGTTCTATCACTAGATGAAATCCTGCGCAAGCGCGGGGAATAGAATTTATACGACAGAAAATACTGACAGCCTACAGGCTTATAGAAGGAAGAAATACTCAAAATCCTGCATGAAGTAGATGTACGTCTCCACCCAATCCCCTTTCTGTAAAAACTTGAAAAATAACAATTTCATTAATTGACGTTTATTGTGAAACCCATTACACTATGTTATGGATATTGTACTTCAGATGCTCTTATTCCATTTCCGTCAAGATAAAAGGAGTGAATATGCACATTTTACTGATAAATTGATTGGGGGGGGGGGTAAAAATTCACAGGTACTTGGGTCTTGGTTTATAAATATGTATGTACCTTATTGATATGTAAGAAACGTTCTTCACTCTTTAACTTTTATTTTACATATCAATAAGGTACACACATATTTTTAGACCAAGACCCAAGTACCTGTGTATAAATTAATTTTAAAAGCCCTATGAATAGGCCGAGTATTTGATACAAAAAGACTGTATTCAGAAAAAAAACTTAAATGTATTGATTAAAGCACAAAATTTTACAGCTTTAATTGTATTTGAACAATACTTTATTCATTAATTTTCTCTTTTCATGTAAGCAAGTTTATTACGAAGTACAGATTGTACTTCGGGTTCGTTTCCACGGTGCTCTCAATAAGGAAAATACAAATTTTACCGATAAATTTATTAGAAAAACCTACTATATATACTTATGTAATAGTCTTTCGATATTTAAATATATTCACAACTTATAGTTTTATCAATGATTTACCATCATTTCAATGACAATTCACATAAAAGCTTCTTTTTATGTTCATGCAGCTATAATCGCCTCGTTTTTTTTTTAACATCGGGCTCGATGCTATATGATGTTCTAGAAGCTTCTGTCAATATTAAGATCGATGAATGACGAAAATAATTTGCACATTTCCCTTCTTAATCGGTTATCACAACTTATTTCTTTTATATCATTTAATTCAAGTTTTGATTGAATAATTAGTGATGACGTTTAATGAAATGAATAAACGATTGCTTGCTGTCAGTTTCATTAAAAATTGCCAGTAACTTAGATCCGCCAACCGGAAACGCCACCATACTCAGGTTTTTTCTATTTCATGGCTGTTTATGGAAAATGAAATTAGACTTCTAATTTAATGTACGATACTTACTTTGAGAGTGAAATATAAATATAGTTTACGGACATCATCCTAGTGTCTTAGTGTATTGTTAAAGGACACGTTTCCCAACAATTGTGATGCCATTGTTATTATACCATTATCACTAAGGATAACTCCCGTTCACCTGAATAATACAGAGGGCCCACGTGGATGTAACCCGTCAACAGGGTGTTCTTACTCCTTCTAAGCACATTCTGTGGGCTTTCAAGCGGTGGAGTTTTTTTCCCCTCTTATTTCTCGAGTTTTGTTCTTTTCTAGAGCATTGAATTGATCTTTCGTCCTTGCTTTCACATTTTACTTAGTAGTATTCAGCCTCTTTTGCTTTTGTTAAGAAAACGTAAGCGTCATGGCCAAGCAAAGATATTTATATTATCTCAGTTACATGTACCTTTTCGATAATTATTATGTCACATGTTCATACATATAAATCCCATAAAATTCTCTTTTTAAGAAATCCGTTAATTTGGATTTGTTTTTCACTTATTTTTTGTTATTGTTTAATATTGATTGCTTCAAATCCTCCAATCTAATTTCAACTAATTTCACAAGACTAAAACGATATTTTATTTAGGAATATAAATAATATTTTAATCACATGCAACATTATCTTATCTAGAAAAATTATGTTGATAATGTAAACAACTCTGAACTTTGAATATATTTTCCTTCATACTTTATCTTCAAAACTCGGATATCTGCTTTGTTCAACACATCTACTGCAACCTGATTTCATTCAATGTTACGTTCATGTATTTAATTGGAACATTTTTTTTTCTTTCGTATCCATGTTTGTTTATCAAATTGATAATTATTGAAAAAAAGAGAATAAAAAGAAAAATAAAACAATAGTAAAGTAAAATGGGACAAAAGTAAATAGATTGGTATGAGTTTTTGATTGTTACGGTCTCTTTCTGATTAACAAGTTTAGTTCTGATTAAAGGCGATCATAATGATCAAAGTTGAAAAATAAAGTGAGAAATATTCTATGCATATTTTTAATATGAGACTGGAAGTCATTTTTTTTTTATACCTGCATTCCTTAAATTTGTAAAGTTTTGAAAGAATTTATTTTTAAAATTATATATATTTTTTAATTACATGTAATTATTAATTGCAGAGGTGTTTTACATAGTTAAACTACTGTTAAGTCAAGTTAATTTATTCAATTATCTGTATAACTGCGTGAATAAATTTTAAACTTATTTTATAACTGGTAATTTTTCCTTTATAAAGATTAATTTTCTTTGGAAAATTTCATCCAACTCTAAAAACGAGTTAAATTTGGTACATGTATATACCCACGAGTAGACCCGTCAAGCACGGATTAAGGAAATATAATTAAAATCACGTAATTCCCATTAACAACTGTAAATAAAATCACAGAGACTAAAATATCAATATGATAGTGCTTGTCTAGACAATGGAAATAAGTAATAAAATGTTTATTTTAGTGTCATCATGTATTTTGTCAAACTATAAAAAAACATACTTCCTTTTGAATTGACATTAAAAAGCGGGGTTTTTTCCCTGAATTTATCAGTTTCCGACCAGCGGCTTCTCTAATGTGTTACTAAGTGGTAAGATTTAAAAATAAAATAATTTAAGACTCTCGTTTACGGTATCTTTATGATTATGTTGGTGATTTTTTTTTTTCAGAAGGAAGAAATATGATGATTCTCCTGGCCATATTGATTTTTTTGTCTGCAACGAATACTACAGCATACGGTAAACTAATATTTTTAAAACTGAATAAATCAATATTGATTCAATCAAGTAGATAGAAATTAATGGTTGTACTTTTAACTGTATATATATATATATATATATATATATATATATATATATATATATATATATATATATATATATATATATTTTTTTTTTTTTTTTTTTTTTTTTTTTTGAATGTAAATATTCGAGAAAAGATAAACATGAAATGCGATGTAGCTTTCTTTATTTTTGATTGATTTGTATATTGTTTAATGTCCCATTCGAGAATTTTTCACTCGTAAAGAGACGTTACCGTATGCACTCGGGGCCATTGAGCAGTGAGGGTTCTTCATCGTGCAAACGTCTACCATGACACGGGATCTCGGTTTTTAAGGTCTCATGCGAAAGACCAATGACTTAGGACGCTCTACCACTAGGCTACCGTGACCAGTTTCTATCTATTCGAAAAATTAAAATCTACAAGTAGTTTTAGAAAATTATGTCAATTTATGTCAAAACATTTTGAATTTCAGCGTCTTCTTTTATTTTTAGCATCGAATGCAATTTAAGAAGGAAATAACCATGACCAACTTTTTAAGTTTTGAAAATATTCTTTTCTGCTACTACAAACTACATCTCTTTTTACCTATACGTTTTTACATATGAATCCGAAATTTATTCGTTAGCATATCAATGTTTTTTTTTAATATATCAATCAAATTACTGTAAGCCTTTTATTCACAAGAACATTCTTTTTGTTTTATTACACTACACAGTCGTATTATATATAACAATAACCAGAATTCGTGAAAAGTTTCCCCTAGCTTATCAATGTCAAATTCTTATCTAGCGAAAACAAGTTGTCAAAATTTGGTCATCTACTGTGATGTAGCAAACGGGCAAATACAAGTCTCCTTCAGAAAATAACCTTGTACTGACATGTTTATACTACAGGGTCAAAACAAGGTCACTTTGCATCACTAGTATCATTCAGAAAAGAGAGGTCATCTGTATCGAATCTATGATTCGGATTAAAATACAACCCTAGTAGTCGCCCGCGTGGCGCAGTGGTTAGAGCGTCTGCTCTAGAGTCGCGAAGTAAGGAGTTGATCCTTACGTCGCGGGTTCGAATCCCACTGTGTAACGTGGAGACCGGTCCTTCAGATGAGACCGTATAAACCGAGGTCCCGTGTCGCAGTAGGTGCTGGCACGAAAAAGATCCCTCACTGCTCAAGGGCCGTAAGTGCCGAGTATAGGACAAAATTTGCAGCTCTCCACCGGCAAGTGGTGGCGTCTCCATATGAGTGAAAAATTCTCGAGAGGGACGTTAAACAACATACAATCAAACAAATACAAACAACCCTAGTATAATATAGATCTTGACTATACGTCTAATAAGAATTTTGATTGACTTTGTGTTCATTACATTAGTGCTAAAAAGGCTCTTCACACCGTGCAACGTACATAAGCTCATTTTCATTTGAGGAAACTCTTCATGTATTATAAACAAACGTTCCTTTTTTGATGTGATTTGCCATCTTGTTTATACGCTTTATGATTATTTAATGATTATCAGAAAAGTGTAATAGACATTTGTTTTTAAAGAAAATTTGGCTTTTGGGAAACCTGCATATCAAGATGATGAATGGACTGATGAACGTTTTTCCCAATGGGGGGACAAAATGCGGTAGATGGGTTGTATTTTGACCGATCAGCTTCTGGGGACGAATGTACAATATCAAAAAACGACAAGTGGAGAGCGACGTGGAGAGTGGACCTACTCAGTATTGTCAGTATCAGTCACATCAACATCTACTTCAGGACGGACAACAGACCAAGTATGTAAACAGTTAGGCGGTACCGTCTTACTACTCTCAAGTCAAGTCAGGATTAAGTAGCTAATAAATAGTCTATAACAAAAAACTGCTAAAACTACTACATTTCTTTTAATAAAATGGAATATATTAAGACAGATGAATATCGATTGCACAATAAAAAAAAATCACTATATACCAATAAACCAATAAAATCACACATCCCTATTGCTGTTTGTGTTAAATGAAGTTTAGGATAGTATCTTAAAATATAAGTAGTTGTGAGAAATTTCTAAAGATTTTTAAAGAACTATACCAAAAAAAAAATGAATAATTTTGGAAATACATTTAGTGACAATTGTGTATGGATGTTCAAATAAATGTATTGGATACGCGATATGATAAACATTATATATATATATTATACACTTCATAGTTGTCATCTTGGGTCCTTTGATTTAACTTCTATATTTGTGCTCACTTATAAACAAAAACTAATACATTCCCTATTTAAAAAAAAGGTCTTTTAAGCATTCAGTGTACATCTTAACTTTAAAATGTAACAGATCTAATGATTAGGACGTCCAAAGTAAATAAGTAACATTGCAGACGTAACTTGCTAAATATCAGTTTAAATATTAAGGCCCTGGCTTGGAAGGTGTAGAAAAAAATATTTATAAACTGTAGTTTCGATGAACTATGATATTTGAAATGTTCTGTTCTTCTTTACGATTGATATCTTTAGCATAAAATAATGTTTTGGAAGAAGTTAGCAGTTGTGGGTAGTTTCTTTGTCCGTTTAATTTAAAGGTCCTGGTTTACGGATGGATCGACTTGGAGGATTTTTCCTCTACGTTTCAAACACAACATCAAAAGACGACGGTCATCTTTGTTTCCACGACGTAGAGTCGGGGTATGAGTCACGGTCTGAAGACAAACGAATAAACTGCTCTGTTCAGGGACGATATGTTATATACTACAACGAGCGAAAGCCGGGTGTGACGTATCCCAGTTATTATTCTAAATATGCACATAATGACTTGTGTGAAGTGCAAGTCTGGGGTAAGTTTGAGTAACTTTACTTATTTGTGGAATAAAATTATTTCTCAAAAGCGATATTTTTTAATGTAAAATGTTTATATGTTATTAACAGGCTGCCCCAGCCCTTCACAGTACGGAGAAAATTGCACGAAACCATGTCCAGATAACTGCCAGGAACATAGGTGTGATATCATAACAGGAGAATGTCTGGGTTGTGCAACAGGCTTTCGAGGTCCTAGCTGCAGTCAGAGTATGTATGAAGCTACAATATTGTATGCATATCTTTCTTAAATACAATTCTTTCCATTGAAATGATCATACATGTTTCACCTGTTGATCAATATCATTTAATTGAAATGATTTAGTGGATTTTTTAAAAAAAATGTTTTGGTCTTCAGCCTGTGATGACCAGAGGTATGGACCTGGATGCGCGTTATCTTGTGGTCACTGTAGAAACGGAGAAACTTGTCACCATGTCAACGGGACCTGTCTCAAAGGTTGTAAAGAGGGGATGGCGGGGGAGAAATGTCAGAAAGGTAAGTTTACGTTACCTGTTTAACAACTGAAACAAAAGGAAACCACATGTATTAAAATAATTACAGTTGTATCTTTAACAAAGATAGTTCATGTATGATCGTTAGTAAATGTATCAACTGTAGTGCATGTCATATTACAAATTAAGTACATGTAGCAATCTTAAAACATGCAACAGGTTTAACCAACTTAGTCTATATAACAGATTGATTGATTGCATGTTGTTTTACGTCCCGTTCGAAAATTTTTCAATCATAGAAAGACGTCACCAAATACCGGTGAAGGGCTTCAAATTTAGAGCTTTACTCGGCACTCAGGGCCATTGAGCAGTGAGTGTTCTTTATCGTGCCAACGCCTACCGTGACAACGGGGCCCTGGTTTTTAAGGTCTCATCCGAAGGACCCGCAACTTTTACTTCAAAGTGCCGAGCGCTTGGCGAAGGAACAGTTGCTACCTATTTTTATAGACTTAGGTCAGTCGCGGCCGCGATTCGAACACACGACCTTCCGATCACGGAGCGAGCGCTCTACCGACTGAGCTCTATGTAACAGGGATTCGTTAGCAAGCCAATACCTGCTGTAAAACGAAGTCTCGATTTAAAATTATTCACCCGAAATCCCTGCAACTTTCACTTAAAGGAATCAAGCGCTTCGAAGGAACAGGTTAGGTAAAAATGTAAATGCATGTAATATTGTTTGTTGTTTTACATCACATTCGAGAATTTTTCACTTATACAGACACGTCAGTTTATACATTGTACTAGTGAGGGGCTTCAAATTTTGACCTTTACTCGGCCCTCAGGGCCATTGAGCAGTGAAGGATCTTTATCGTGCCAACGCCTGCCGTGACACGGGACCTCGGATTTTAAGGTCTCATCCGAAGGACCCGCAACTCTCATTTCAAAGTGCCGAGCGAATGGCGAAGGAACAGTTGCTACCCATTTTTTAACGACTTGGGTCAGTCGCTGCCGAGATTCGAACTCGCGACCTCCCGATCACGGAGCGAGCGCTCTACCGACTGAGCTAGCTTGAACGGTTAAATGCATGTAATAAAAAACTGTGTAAACTCATTTATGCGTGTGCATTGTTACAAGCATAGATCATATTATTATAATCTTGGTGCATGTATATTGTTATAATGTGCTTAATTATAACAGTCATCGTACATGCTACGACCTTCATAGCTCAGAAGAGCACTCTCTCAATTATCGGAAGGTCATGGGTATAGCTCCGATCGCCCGAAACACAAATTAAAAACAAAGTTGTCATATCTAAATTTCGAGCCTTTCAACGGTATAAGGTGACGTCTCAACGGTATATCTCATATGCATGAGTGAAATAATATTGCAAGGGAAGGTAAACTAAATAATCAAACAACGTTGGTGCATATGAAAAGGTTTTAAAAACAACTTATTTTTATATACAAAATGTTACGATTCTCCATTTTCTCCTATGAAAAATTAATACCTAGTTCTGAAAACTAGATTTTTTTAAGATTAAAAGAAAAGTTGATACGTTTATTTTTACCAGAATGCCCAACTGGATCATTTGGTCTTCACTGCCAGAGAAGCTGTAAAGAATATTGTGGAGGAGAGGGGACCTGTAACCCGGTCACTGGGATATGTCACAGTGGGTGTAAAAAGGGGTGGACCGGGCCCCTCTGTAGCCAAGGTGAACCTAACAACTTGAGTTTATTATCACTGACTAGAGTTTAAAATAGATTTTCGGTTTTTACTGTAATTAACGATTTTGCTAGAGCAGATAGAAGTATTTTAACAGTGAATTTGAAACTGTTTTATAATTTCTTTCTCTAATTCATTTTTTTAATATGAAAAGAATATACTTTTTTGTATATTCAAATATCATTACCAAAATTTACATCATTGATATAGAATATGAGATATATTAAGGATCTAGATCTCTAAAAATGTTCTAAAATTTAATAAATCAAAATATATGTATGTACTACAGTAAATTCTAATTAACTTTTGTTAGGGAAATTAAGCACTTAAATTTAGCAGATATATGAACCGATTAAATATGTCAAAAAAGTTTGGATTGTGTACAATTCATGGATGTTGAGTTCACATAAATGACGTTTTAAGCTTTTTTCCCTTGGAGTTAAATATAAAATCTTGGAGCTAAATATTCTGGAAAATATATCTAGTATGCAATTTTAAAGTCCTGTATAGCCTTCCCCTGCTGCTTATTTAAAATCAATAATTTGTAACATAAGAAATTTCCTTTATAGTCGCTACTTCATGGACCCACGCCTTGACCATAATAATACCAGTAGCCTCGGTAATTGTTCTTCTCATAGGAACTATCACCATTTACCTTCTCTGGAAGAGAAAACAACATAGCGATTTAATATCCTGGATCTCAAATGTATCAGGTACGGTTCTTTTTATTTTTCGTCAAACCTGAAATCTGAGTAATTTATATTTCTTAACTGAAGTTAATAATCAAAGTACAACCTTGCGAATTAACGAATAAATTCAAAATTCCAGAATGCAGAAGAATAATTCTGTATTAGACCCCCCCCCCCCCATATCAAATAAATAAAACAGAAAATTATGAAAAAATTATGCAATGTGTTATGCAATAGTATACAATTAAAAAATTGTTTCTTTATTTCAGGAAACAATACTCCAAGAAGGTAACTACCTTTTCGATATCAACTGATATAAAACCTAACTATCTAATAAAATCAGCTACCAAAAATAAATTCAATTGATATAAACTTAAATATCTGATAAAATTAACTGTTTTAAAATTAAATGTCTGTTGAAATCGACTAATATTTATCAACTAATGTTGATAGAGATTGGGATATAGGATTCTTTTTTTTTCTTTCAGGGAAACAAGATGTCATGAACTTCCAATGTCAGATATACAGAATAGAGGTAAATTGTTTTTTTAATATATAATTCATTCATTCATCTATTTGAAAGAATAATTATTTTTAATTAAAACATGAAAATGATTACAATGCTTTTGCATTCTACTTTAGAGCAGCCTGATAGTGAAGATCAGTATGTATAATTTATTATTTCACTTACCAATTTTAAGTTTCTTAATCAATGAAATAGGGTTTTTGTCTTCGTTCTTTTTATACATATTTTATCTTTTTACAGTAGGATTATGTACCAATATAGGGAGCTTGATACCGTCTCCGTTGCCAGTACCGAGGAATTGCGCCAGTATTTCTAACCTGAAGGAGAATAAAAATGCTAAATCTGTATTCAGTTAGGAACAGGGAAAGAACGTTAACATGGTCCACAAAGTATACATTTTGATGACAAACAGTAGTTAAAAATTAAGAAGACAAAAAGGAGTCTATAACAAGGAAGCAGAGATATCATGTTACGAAGAGCCAAATCTTCAAGCATGGTTCACCTATATGCTTAGCGTTGAATTATTTAGAAAAAAAACTGATTATATGGAGTTGCTAGACTACATGTAACTTGATGTGTCTTGTGGAGATTAAAAATAATGAGGGCATTTTTAACAAAAGGCCCATGTGCCACATAACTCGTTTGAACACTTTGGCTGAGTTCATAATTGAAATTGATATTTTCAATATATAAGTGGTTCAACCCTCCCTCAGGGGGTCTTGATTTCAACAACCTTGAATCTAACTAAGGATCCGTTCATATTTCTTTGAGGAAACGTGACTTTAAAAAAATTTAGAAGATTTTTTTTCTTATACATATATTCTATGTAAAAGTTTGATCTTCGATTGTGGCTCCCTCGTACTCCGAGGGTGTGTGTGTGTGTGTGGGGGGGGGGGGGGGTTCATGATTTGAAGAAAATTCAATCTACAGTGCCCAGGGATGCCTCTATACTTATAGGACTAATTATGGCTTTGCTATTTTTGAGAAGAGGACTGTATAAGATATTTCCTAAATCCTATGTATAACTTTGTTCCCCCGCTGTGGCCTATTCCAACCCCTGGGGGTCATGATTTGAATAAAATTGAACCTACAATACCAAAACATGTTTCTATACTTATATGAGTAATTATGGCATTCCTGTTTTTGAGATGAAGATTTTTAAAGATATTTCCTATATAGTCATATGTATAACTTTGATCTCGTTTTGTGGCCCCAACCTATCCCAGGGGGTCGTAATTTGAACAAACTTGAATATACACTATAAATGAAGCTTTCCATTAAGTTTAATCTTTTCTTGTTTAATGGATTTTGAGAGATTTTTTAATAATGCCATTAAATTTTCACTAAATCTGTATTGTCTTTCCTTGAAAGAAAAAATCACCCTCACCCAAGGATGCTTCATTGTGGGAAGTTTGATTGAAATTATTTCTAAAGTAGAAGTCGAAAATGTGAATTGTTTACAGACGACATAAAGACGCAGGACACTGGTGAGCTAAAACTCAGTTTAGAAACCAAAATATGCAAAATTACGAAATATACCTTGCAACTGGTAAACTGCAAAATTAATATAAGTGTACTAATATATTTCCAGTTCGGGAAAAATAGGGATTGTAACACAATATTAAGAATTCGGTTAATATTTCTCTATTGGATTAATAAAGAAAGAGATTATGTGCGCCTGTATACCCCATGTTTATTATTTAATAAAAATTTATGTTCTAAACCTTAATAAATCTCTACTGCACATGTTAAAGAGGATGAATTCTGAATATTTTCCCCATTTCAGCTGCTTATAAAAATGTTTTGACATGAAATATGACGATAACGATAAGTGATCATACTCAAAACTTAATGTAAACTATACAAATTGTGAGCAGAGTCAACAAGGACCTCTGAAAACAGAGGTGGGATCACGTGCAAACATCCAACAAATCCATTACAGTTTGTAATAAATGAACTTGTCTATTGAGACCAAACGAAATCAATTCAGATTCTGGTCTTGTAGATTACTTTTCTAATAATTTTTAATTACTATTATACGTTTTTTTGTTTGTATGTTGTTTAACGTCCCTCTCGAGATATTTTTCACTCATATGGAGACGCCACCACTTACCGATGGAGAGCTGCAAATTTTGTCCTATACTCGGCACTTACGGCCATTGAGCAGTGAGGGATCTTTTTCGTGCCAGCAATTACTGCGACACGGGACCTCAGTTTATACGGTCTCATCCGAAGGACCGGTCTCCGCGTCCTACAGTGGGACTCGAACCCGCGATGTAAGGATCAATTCCTTACTCCGCGACTCTAGAGCAGACGCTCTAACCACTGCGCCACGCGGGCAACTACTATTATACGTAATGGTTCCTCTAAGATAAACTAATTCATTTTGTTTGGGCTGAGATTAATCTTCTTTGTTTTCTAAAAATTTTCCCAGAAATATGTTTTGAATTTATAATCTTCGGCTTCCTAAACGAATGGTGATAAACATCAAAGGGGACCCAAATAGGTAATAATAAAGTAATATGAAACCTGATTGGTCAAATCATAAAATTCCCAAATTTTGTTGGGAATAAGAACATTTTTAAGCCAAATTCACTTTATATATTACTTTAAGTAAATAAAGTTATAAATTAAAAAATTGATCTGTTCCAATCACGGAAGACCAATCAATTTTATAATTATTTTTTACTTGCTTTTCTCTTAGTGGGAATGTTTCGAAATCGAGTGCAATATTTAATTTATTTTATACTGAAATGCGCAATTCCATTAGATACATTTAGGATACGTTTAAATCTTCTTACAAAAGAGTTATATAAACTAGTTGGTTATATATATATATATATATATATATATATATATATATATATATATATATATATATATATATATATATATATATATATATATTGAAATCTTATTAACCTCTAGTTTATTGAGGTTGAATTGCTTTTAAAATGCATTTCAGGTCGGTTGTTCAATCAGAAACTGTAAAAATGTTATTTGTTGTTAGCTTTCATTGTTTCAGAGTACATTTATTTTGTGATTTTTTCAGTAACAATCTTCAGAATTTCCCGTGTTTAAGGATTTACAAGTAAAATAACTGTGTGCTAAAGGAATGTGAAAATTTCTGTAAAAAGGATAATAAATAAATTTCCTTGGTTATATTTAGATTTCATTTGGATCAATCATATTATCACCATTTTCGATTAGACAAGTTTTAATTTTATTTCAATTGATGCATTTTTGTATAACTTTCAGAATTATGCCAGTATCTCCAAATCGGAGAATTCCTGTGAATATCAGAATTGTATATCTATTTTGTTTTATGAATTTTGTATTGACTTTGTTTACATTTTCTTCCTAGCTTGCATAAAATAAACTTTTATTTAAATTCGTAATCGAGGTCTCGATTTTTTCCAAAATTTACTTGTGTGAAAGCCACAGACCTGATTGTTTCCATTCATAAAATATGTAAAACCAAAGGTGGAAAATGAATTCCAATTATTTAATTTTCCGGAATTCAGATTTCAGAATTTATTAAAACCAAGAGACATACATCTCTTAGGTATAAATATATTATGCATACACTGTAAAAAATGTGTTTACAATTCAAACACTTTTCTAAACACTTTCTTGTCACCTCCTTTTTTATATGTTTAATTTCTAAACATGTAAAATTCCTAAACATGTCTTAGAAAGTGTTTAGAATTTAAACACTTGTGTGCTTAGAAATTAAACATATCTAAACACATAAACACAAGTGTTTAAATTCTAAACACATAACAGCAGATGTGTTTAAAATCTAAACACATCATAAGTTCAATTTGTACAAAAAGTATATGTTTTTTAAATGCGTATAATTGTCAAAATTTTCAAAATATGTAACCAATATTAATTATTTTCCATAAAGCCACTGAACATCGGGATATGTATTTAATTATACAATACAATGGATACTGTGTGATGTACAAGTACTTAATTTACACAAATAATGTAGGAGATAGAACTGAATAGATTTGATTAGTATCAACAATTCGATCAGAATGACACATAATTTATAACGTACACATAGATAACAAACTTTTAATCTTCAAAATTATTTAGAAAATAATATTAAGGATGGATTCTTCTCATATTTCTTATAATGGCAGAATCTTGATTTTCTGAATACTCAATATTCAGACTGTTTACACTCTTTTAACATCTAAAAACTTTGATGTCATCGGCCTTGATTTTCAGTCAAGGTCATTTGAAAGTCAGTCCTAAAAATAGTACTTTTACACAGAGAAGTTTTGAAATTTATGCATATGAATAAATTTTGCTGACTGAAAAAATATCTTTCACAATAAAATTAAAGTTGTTACTTATTTTTGATGACTAATTCATATGAAATGAGCTGGTGAAAAGATAACATGAAATCCTTTATATTCAATAAATATATTTAATCCGAATTTCCTCGATATTTTTTTCAAAATTCTCAGTTTTTATGAATTCACATGAAATTTCATCTCAATTTTTACAATTGACCATATAATGTCAAATATTTAGATTTTTGTCTGATGAATATTTAAAAGGTTCAAGATTAATTTACAAGGTAAAAAAGATATAGTAATCAGGCAAATTATCGAAAAAAAATTAGCCCGAATTTGCTCTATACTTTCTGAAATCTTCATTTTACAGAGTGTTTTAAATGTCTATAAAAAAGATTTTTAATCCCCCAAAACATACCAATTTGGTGCAATTGTGACATAAATACATTCATTTCTCCCAGTTATACATTCTATTTTTATGGTATTTTACACTAATGATATTCAAAATATTCATTTCGAATGTCCTCTGTCATTTTATTCTGATGAATGTTATGTTTGACAATTTTATAAAATACATCAATTTTCTAGTGGCAATTACAGAAAAATTATCACATACATTCTTCACATGCACAGGACTAATTCAAAGCAACTTAACCTTTAATATAACCAGGAATAAATAACCTTCCAAAAAGTTATGAGAAAAATCATACATAAAATTTTCATAGACTAGAAAAGATTTCAAAACATTATTTATGACATAAACATGGAATCAATATACATGTATAGTGAACATGCCATTCAAAGCTTAATATATGAATATCAGAGGGACTAATATATATGCCTATACATGAATATGTAGTTATATACATATAGGTCCCTGGTATTATGTTATTATTGGATATTTTACATTTTTAAACTGAGTTTTGAAAACAACAAGCAAATTCAAAGAATTGTGGTCCCCCGCTTTCGATGTCTTAGTGGATGGGATGCCAATGCCATTATTTAT